CACACACACACACACACACACACACACACACACACACACACACACACTCATGCAGGTTTACACAAACAGCAGGATCGTCGTCACCGCTGTGGAGACGGCCATCATCAAGTGGAATTCAGGCCACTAATTTCTGACCCCTGTTACCTGAGGCCTGTCAGTCATGTTGATTCATCTGGACAGGTTCATTTTGTGTGTGTGTGTGTGTGTGTGTGTGTGTGTGTGTGTGTGTGTGTACAGATGGTAATGATGTGATTGGTGCTGAAAGAATTATTTAATTAATCAATAAGTCAATTGATAGAAAATCAACCCCTTAAACTTTTGATAATGGAATCGTCATTTCTTCAAGGAAAAATAGCAAATAATTGACATTGTCTTGTGGCTCACTGGCTTAAGAGGGTTGTCTGGTAACTACAGGGTCAACGGTTCGATCCTCGACTGGGACGTACCACGTGTCGAGCAAGACACTGAACCCCCGGGCGCCTGTCACTGGCATCCCACTGCTCCGCTCCTATATACAGGGAGAGGTCAAATTTTGTGTATGCGTATATGACAATAAAAAGGGTTTCTATTCTATTCTATAACGATAATGAGAATGGAGGTGGTCCTGTTGTTAGCCTATTAAAAAGTCCTCCATGCTTGTGGGCAGCCACTAATAACCCCACCAGGGATTACTGTACAGCAGAGGGATTACTGTACAGCAGGCTGGAGGGACGGCAGGGAACCAGTTTGGGCCTCAGCTTGCTGTCATCCAAGAGAGGCAACCTAGTAGACCTCCATTCACTCCCAGTCTTAGTGGGGCCACCACACCAACTCTCTAGAGCAGCGTGAAAAGCTCCCACTTGGGATATACTAAGTGGCTCAGCTGTCCCTCGCCTATCCTCACCTCCCATGGCGCCCCCTCCTCTACACCCAAGCCAAATAAAGCCTCTCAGCGACTTCTGTTTTCCTAATCTGTGAACTCTGACAGAGGCGCCCACGCTTGAAAGAGAGACAACTCAACATGAGATGATCTCCCGGTGACAGGGAGAAGCTGAAAAAACGTTGCTGAAACCACCAGACCACCCTGTCATCTTCCTGTTCCTGTCTTTCTCTCTCTGTCTTTCTGCCTCTCTCTGTGACTCCCTCTACTCCTAACCCGCCTTTAATAAAATAAATAAAATAAAATAATTTCCCTTCCTTTTACCCCCCATCATCTACCTTCTCTAATTGGCCGTCACTGAGTGATTAAGACCGTTGACTACGTGCCAATAGCCAAATGGCCTGAGTGGTCTTTGTGGTGAGGCGCAACTTTTTATGCAGGGATCTTCCACTCTAAAAGCCCCATATATTCACACACTGTGCCCGTATTACTAATGGGGAAATGATTTAACACTGCAGTAGCTGAGCTGCTGAGGATTGTAGCACGTCGGCACAAGTACATTTTCCTCGCCATTAATCCACAGATTAATGTTGCCGTGATGAATTGGCTATGCTGTTTGTATTTGTCACCACACTCCCCAGCAGCCATTCACTTGGAAATGGCTTAGCTGCTACATGAACAGTTTGTCTTTTAACATACCATACGGTGGTAGGGTGGTGTGCTACTTTAAAGGCACATTGTGTGATCTAAATGTGGACACAAGAGTATAGCCAATATGGAAATGAAAACATTTGGGAAATGCATTAATTTGCTTTCGTGCTGAGAGTTTCACGCAAAGATCAGAACCACTTTAATCTTTGTACGCTATACATGAAGCCGGCAGCACTTCTGTGTGTTATTCATTGTCTTCTTCGGAAAGATGGACAGATGAGCCTGCAGCTGTTGCTACTTCAATCACATTTAACGAAAGACAATGTCTGCTCCCACTGAGGTGAAACTGTGGCGTGTTAAACACACTGTCAATGCTGAAAGCAAAGGATTTTCTTGCTGTAACAGATTCTTAGTATTTCAAAGGTCAGCCAGCTACACCACTGTGCTGACATCCTGGCAAAAGCTTACAGATCCAGGAGAGATTTTGTTGAGCTGGCTCACATTTCGCAGTGTTAATAGCTGTGTAGAGTACGTTTTTTAATAAAGACCTGCAACTTGCCAGAGCACAGTGTTGCTGGACTGTCTCAGACGAGCGTTAACACTTGCTGCGAGGCGAGCATCTATTTCAGAGGGCTTAAAGAGTGGAATTAAACAGCCTTGTCACTGTTCTCTCTCTGTTTAACCTACATGCTCATCTGCCAGACGCGCCTGACGGCACCAGAGCCTGGAAGAATCTCCCAGCAGGCCCGGCAGCACACGGGCCGCACCATATTTAGTCATCCAAAGTCCAGACACAGACCAATGCAGTCCTCCACCTTAATCTGTCTCCTCTCTCCGTTCCCCTCTCCCCCTCTCCCCCTCTCATATTTTACTTCCCTCCCTCGATCTCTGTCACTTTCCCTCTCTCTCCTACTGCTTCCATTCATATCTGTCCTCGCTCGCCCTCCCTCGAGTCATTTTTGCTTTATCACTGTCGTGCCCCTCGCTGTTTCTCTCCCCCTCGCATGTACCTCTTTTCCTTCCTATTTACTGTAACTCTTCTTTCCTTGTGCCTGTTCATCCTCTTTTTCAGTCTCTTAACTCTGTCAAGTAGTTTCCTGCCTTTTTTTTTTTTTTTACTTTTCTAACTTCCTCTTACTCCCTCAACAACATTCCCATCAAACACTAAGTCTGAATAATTCCCTCTCTCTGTCTTTTTTCTTTTTCCCCTCACCTGTCATAATTTCCTACCACCCCCCCCCCTTCCCTCTCAGAGCCTCCCTACTGTCTCTTTTCTTGGATGAACATGCTGCTGATGGAAGCTGGGCCTGGATGCTAATGAGTTGCTAATTCTATCAGCCCTCTCTCCATGCCCTCCCCAGTGGGTGTCGGGGCCGCCAGCTTTACCATGGCCAGCCTTTTGATGGAGTGCCTCGGCTGATGAACTCCCTCCTGCGTGCCCACTTTAACCTCCACGTCCTCAGACACATGTCATTGATCAATGTCCTTATCCGTCCTGGCAAGGCCCACTCTTACTCCAATCATGTATGAGCTGGCCCATTCCCTGCAATCCATTTTTCATATGTTAAATATTGTAATAGCAGGGGATGTTTTTTATTATAATGTTTTCATGTTCAGGTCTTCAAATGTCTCCAAGTGGCTACTTCAGAGCTTGACGTGACGGGAAATATACACTTATCTCTTTATCCCAAGTATAGTTCAAATCGAACCAGTCTGAAAAGACATTTTAAATTGTGTGTAATTATCTTACGTTTTCTAGGATTGACATAAGAAGCAGTTATTCTTCCACTTTGGGACATTTCCTTCCTCACTGTCTATTCTGCGCTGTATAATTCCCTCACACTATTTTCCTTTAACACCCAATCTGGGCTTGAGAAGAGGCCAAATGGCTGGGTTTAAGCACTTGAGCACAGAAGAGTGGTCCTATTTACCAGGCCACTGGGCCCTTTTCTGAGGGTTGCTAGCTCAGGACCCCTCACATAAGAAAAGAACGAAACTTTTGTTTTTCCGACTCCTCTTAAATCCGTCTGTCTGCCTTCCCCGCTTGACTGAAGTGGATACAGAGGCGGCCTTTTGTTCTACCAAGATGAAGAGGGATGCTGTAGTATAAGAGGGAGAGTGAGGGTAAGAGGAGGTGGGTGGGATTCATTGTAATTTAATAAATACCTCGCAAAGAGGGTTGGGGTGCCTTCTCAACCCCTCAGCTGTCTGTTTTGAAATGGGGCTCTTCTGGATTTGACACCCAGGGAAGTAAAAAGGGGATTAAGGAAGGAAAAGCCTCAGGCTATAAACATCTCTTTCTCTGTCTTATTCTTCGCCCCAAGGCCCCACCCCTCCCCCCCCCACCCCCGCCTCAATCCTCTCTCTTTGGGACCGAGAGGCCCCTCGCCTAGCTGTGAGCGTATGAATGATGTCATCCAGGTACCTATCTTGACCCAGAGATTTAGAAAGGCTTGAATGGAGTCTCATAGCCTCGGTTCTTCTAATGCAGAGAATAATCCTCAGTTTTTGGGGCATTTTCTGGTTCACTGAATGAACATAATGCTGCCTTCTCCAAGGTCAGCACTGTGTAACAATACTGTTGCTATGGTTGATTTCCTGTCAAATTCCCGCAAAAATCAGTAAGAGCTTAAAAGTAGAGCCATGTCTTCATATAAAGAAATGGCTCCCTTTTTCCTGGACTCTCTCAAAGCAGAGGTTGGACTGGGGGTCACACACGGTCCACTGCTTTGCAGCATGACCAGGGATTATGGGGTGACTTCTGCCATGCTGCTCAAGCATGACCAGAAGGCTTGGCCAGTTTTGACGTGAATGGAAGTACTGAATGAGAGGCCGGCATTAAAATTCAGGATGCAGTCACTTGCAGTCACTAATGTCTCTCTTTAAATGGTCACATCCTTTCTCTAGGGGCCCCTGTCTTGACTGTCTTATCCTTTGACAGGCTTTTAGTCGATGAAAACATTCACTTGCAATTGTACAGTACAAAAGATACAATGACATTTACTTTCTAAGGGAAAAAATAATTAGATTTTAAAGATGCACACTTGTTTTTATACAGTAGAATTATATCAGCATCACTTTCTATTTCATACCCTATTATGGTAAAAGTCTGTCTATGACATTGACCTTTTATGTTTGTTTCTCTCTCTTCCAGGAAGGACTCTGTTCAGCCTGAAGTGAAGGGTCACTGAGCTCAGACACTCTCCTTCCATTGACTCACAATTATACACACATAGGGGAAAGTCACACAGACGGACACATCTGAACGACACGTACAACTTCACGTTTACACACACAGACTCTTGGGTACACACACACACACACACACACACACACAAAGACCCATCCGTGCACAAACGCAGACACACACTCACACACACACACACAGGGCCTCTGAGCAGGATGAGGGGACCCTGGAGGTGCCTGCTGGGCCTGTGCCTCCTGGCATGCTCGGCTTCCACCCGCAGTGCCGCCAATCCCTTCGCAGGGCAGCAGACCCCGCCAGACCCTTGCTATGATGACACAGGCGCAGCCCGTCGTTGTATCCCCGAGTTTATTAATGCTGCCTTCGGCAAGGATGTGATGGTGTCCAGCGTCTGTGGCCGGCCTGCGTCCCGCTCCTGCAGTGTGGTGGAGCGGAGCGACGATCGGCCCTCTGTGCGCACGTGCCAAATCTGCGACGCGGCTGACCCTCGCCGTGCCCACCCTGCCTCCTACCTCACTGACCTAAACTCGGCGCACAACCTCACCTGCTGGCAGTCAGAGAATCTGAACACCTCACCGCACAACATGACCCTCACCCTTTCGCTCGGTAAAAAGTTTGAGATCACCTATGTCAGCCTGCAGTTCTGTTCCCCACGACCCGAGTCCCTGGCCATATACAAGAGCATGGACTACGGCAAGACCTGGGTGCCCTACCAGTTCTACTCCTCACAGTGCCGGCGCATGTACAATCGGCCAAACAAAGCATCCATTACCAAGCAGAACGAACAGGAGGCTCTCTGCACAGATGGCCACACTGACCTCTACCCGCTGTCTGGAGGACTCATTGCTTTCAGCACTCTGGATGGACGGCCCTCGGGCAAAGACTTTGACAACAGCCCCGTCCTTCAGGACTGGGTGACTGTCACTGACATCCGCGTGGTCTTCAGCCGGCCCCAGCTACCCCGGGAGCTGGGACTGGGGGCTGGAAGCAACAGCGGAGGGAGGGACGACGACCCCATGGCGGTGACAACAACGCTGCCTACTTATTTCTATGCAGTGGGAGACTTCCAGGTGGGCGGGAGGTGTAAATGCAACGGACACGGCTCACGCTGTCTGAAAGACAAGGAAGGCAAACTGGTGTGTGACTGCAAGCACAACACAGAGGGACCTGAATGTGACCGCTGCAAGCCCTTTCACTATGACCGACCGTGGCAGAGGGCCAATGCCCGCGAGGCCAATGAGTGTCTGCGTAAGTCTTTACCTCGATCTGTCATTCTTTATGTGCTTTTAACATTCAGTTAGTGTAATGTGGAACATACGATAGATTTCTCTTTACCTGCAAACAATACAGACAAATATAGCACAACAGATTTTCTGAGAGGACACACAATGGCTCTATAACTTTATGTGTTGCATTAGTGATTAACAAAACAAAATCATAGAAGTGACAAGATGAATTTATCGTTGTAGATCAAAACCCAGTCATTAGCGAAATATCCTTTGGCTGTTTTGACAACAGTTCAGTGACCACTATAAACAGAGCATGCAAATGTGATGGGAAACCCGCTCCTTCTTCAGCTGCACAATTCTTAGCTCAGTGAGTGCATGGAAATAAGAAATTATTTGACAATACAAGTTGTTTATTTTCTTTGTTGGATAGTGCCCGCTCTCAGGATTTGGACATTGATGTAAAACAAATAAAATGTATACACATTCACAGAGGGAAATAGAAGGAGTCAGAAGAGAAGAGATTTAACTGTGGTGACCTGTGTTTGACTGTCAGGGGTAATTAAGAGTCTTGCCAGAACACACCGGAGAGGTTTGTGTTTGTACAAGTGAGGAGTTCTGGTAGCAAATAGTGGTTGAGCTTGCAACTTTTGGCAACGTTTCTTAAAACCATGAGGCCCATCCTTTTCCTTGCATTTCCCATCAGCCCCTTGTGTTTACCCTTGCTCTACAGAGAAACAGCCCAATTCCTAACAAAATCATGATTTCTGGACTTGACTATGAAAAAAACCCCTCTTTTTCACAAGCAAGTCTAAACAGTGGGTGACAACAGCTCGAGTCGTTGGCACACCGCTACAGCTAAGCCATCCAAGAATGTTTTTTGGCAGTGTTTGCCTTCACCTCAAGACATGCTCTGTAAAAGTCATCCAGACATACTCTGACAGCTTGCCAAGTAAAATTATAGCAATTTCTCTGGCAATTTTTGTTAATGTAAATGGATTACATTTAGGCTTTAATGTGATATTTGGTCCGTATATTAATTTCATGGATGTACAAAGGTTTTAGACGCATGCCATGTTAGCCGTGTTTTTAGCAGGAATACGTTCTCTAATATGTGGATGTTTCTTTGGTGGTCATTTTAACAGCATTTCTATGTTCGTATAAATAGACATAGGTGGAACTTAATTCAGGTCAATTTTGCTTGTCATAAAAATTTGTTAGCGTAGGAAAATAAAACCATTTTAGAAACCACTGTCCCCGTTTCAACCTTTCGCCGTAATGAAATAAAATTACAGCCGGAGAGAAAAAAAAACAGGAGCGGAACATTGAAAAACAGTTTGTATTTTTCTAACATGTTATAATTGCCCTGTGAGCTGGCATGAGATCATATTTAGCATTGAACAGTGCCAGATCTGTTTAAAAGTGACAGAGAGTGACAGAGCCAGAGGAGCAAAGCCAGTTTAGCCTTAAACCGGCTGATGAAGCCAACATTCCCTCTCTCTGTCCTCTGAAACCTCTCAGGCCAACACTACCGAACTTTGACTTCCCTGTCCTTGACACCCTCACTTACTCAGCCCTCAGATACAAGCACACACTCACACACACACACCTAGCTCCTTCTACAACAATATCCTGTAAATCCCTCAGTGTTTTCTTGCTCATACTTTTTGCACACGCCCTCTTTCAAATGTCCCGTAGCTGTTTCCGAAATGTTACACCCGCTTCCCGTAGAGCGCTTCTCGGCGGGATTGATATGTCAATTCCATCCAGAATTCCTGGACTGAACAGCCCGGCTGCACTGGCCAACTCTGATGACCTAATCCCAGTGTTGATTCGGGGCAGTGAAAGCTTATTGCAAGTTGCACGCTATACCTGATCACACATCCGGACAAGCCAAAAAGTCAGTCCCAGATGTCCCCAATTTTATGTTCCGAAAGCCTCTTTACAGCTTATTCCGGTAGAACTGGATTCCAACATATCCTCAAAGTAGCAGGAGAGCCTTTAAATAAGTCTCCCCAGTGTATATTAAAACCCATTCTTAAAATGCATCCGTCCCTTGTTGATTTCTCCGCCTGCTTTTCTTTCTGATGCGGCGCAAAAAAAGGCGGCGGGCTGCCGTGGGAGCCACTGTGGTAGCGAAGTAGAAGTATTTAGCCTAGGCAAGTGCGTGAGAGTGGCAAGTTACAGATTCAAGGAGTCCCTTGAGTCCCTTGGGTTAGAGGTAGGGTCTGAGGGGGCCGGGCTGAGCTCATGATCCTTTGTGGGGTGGTGATGGGGTTAAGCTGACGGGGAGATGGTTTGTGGGTAATGAGGAATTCAGAGTGGGCAGATGTAGAGCCAAATCAATAGCTGTTTCACGGTCTAGCTCAGAGTCTGTCAGTCCTTGAGAAAGCATGTGCCTGGAAGCCGACTTCACCACTTATTCACACATTACTGTTAAGATGGTTTTAAGTTTTTGCTCCCACTCGGAGCAGTCTTGACTTTAATCTTTACCCTGCACTGCAAGAACATTGTTTCTAACAGGCTGGTTTGATTGTTTGCTGGTCTTACTAAATGTTTGACATGCACCGCACCAAGATTACTGTCTGCGCTCTTGGCAAGCTTGTGTACTGTCTCCAGACACAAGCCATGCACACACACGCCCCATCTGCCGCCTCCCTCGCTATGAATCCTGCCTCAAGACATCGGTTTACAAATCCCCGCTCTCGTCGTCGGAGAGAGCAGCCTCGTAAAGGAGCGTGTCTGTTTGTATTGAGGGAGACATGATGGAAAAAGCTGTGATTTATCTGCCCGGAGTTTGAGCCACGGGACAGAATGAGGAAACGGATGGATAAGAGCTATTTGGTTACTGGTTGTGATGGAGTATTGGCTTTTCTGCTGGCGTGGGTCGATGCTGAAATGTAAATACTTTTGTTGACTTAAAAATGCGAGACAGTGTGTCACGCTATAATACAGTCTGCCGAAGTCACTGCATAAGATGAAGTGGCCTCTTGTGGAGTCAACAACAATGTGACATCCTGAGTAGTTGATAATTGATGGCGGTGTAGGAGCTCTCTACTCTTGGCCGTGTCTGCAGTCACCATGGCCCTGTTGGGCTGAGGCACCAAGCCGTTCTATTCTTTATCCCTTCCTCTGCCTCGTTCGGACTTGGCCTGCAGAAAGTCCAGAGTGCAGCTCTGGAACGCTATACGAGCCCAGGGCCAGACACCATCCATCCCTAATGGACCAGTCAGGCCAGGTCTGCTCCCAGTGTTGCTCCAGGCACACTGGTATGCATTCATAGCATTAAACACAGAGGTCATACGAAGGCTGTTTGAATTGCCATTTGGGCTGATTTGCCAGAAATGCAGGTGAGCGGTTAGTCGCGGAGCTGGGTGTTCCTGCTCTGCTGCAACGACTGGGTGTGGTGTTGAATATTTTTAATAGTAGGTTTTGACATATTGAGTCCAATGGGGAATGAGTGATACGGTATTCTGTTTTTGCACAAGAAGAGGAGTTTCCTTTCAAATTAAATCAATCAACCAAATGAATATTCACTGTAGAACCTCATTTTACAACAGTCCATGTCATCACCTGAAGGAAATTCCCACAAATTAGGTTTTACGTCTAAAAAGTTATTGCCTGTTACATCATAGATGGTATTAGATCGTGTCTTCCACACTAATGAATGAGAAGCAGAACAGACAGATTTTGAATTCGAAAAGCCACGTCACAGCCCTCTCAAACCTTTGGTGGGGGCTCGTGGTCTTTGGTGGGCTCAGTCTCTGTTTTTGGAAACTATTAGCTGGAATTAGGGGGAATTTGACAGATGGGTTTCTTAGGGAGCGCAGTGCGGATCCAACAGAGGTGTGTGTGTGTGTGAATGTGTGTGTTCGAGGAAGAGGCCAGCCAGGAACAGGACTCAGAATAAGCCCTCAGATCTGTACAGAGCTGTGGAAACTCCGAAGACCACAGAAGCACAAACTCTCTCTTTTTTTGTTTTTCTCTCGTCATTTCCCTCACCGACGAGGGGCAGATGTTTTTTTTTTTAATGCTGATTAGAATTTCAAAATAGGCCTCCATCCTTTCACACTATTTTCCTCCCTCTACATCTCCTAGCTATGGCAAGCAGAGGTCAGGCCCGTGTTCCAGTCGTAGAACAGATTTGTCAAGACACTTTTTCGGCCCAGTGATCGAGAAATGACCTCATTCTCAAACTAACCACACCTGAAACCATGGCACAGTTTGTGAGTCTGCACGCTTCAATCGTGGCATGAAGAGGAGCAGGATTTGTGTCCTTTTGTTCCTGCAACACAAGGTTGTTGGGTCTCGGTTAGATCAAAGTTAACCTCACTGGATTGCTTTGAATTTCCACGTTGAACCCTTAGAATCCAGCACACAGCAGCCCGAAGTTTTCCTCCAAGGCCAGCTGAAATGTAGCTGTCTATCTCTAGAGGGCAACGCGATATGAAGCTCAGTGAAATGCCGAATATAGACGGGTAAGGATGAAAAAAGCCAAAGCTGCCTTGTTCCTAATTTCGCTAATTGACTTAAAGACCCTCCCACCTCCGTCGCCTGTTGCTGGAGGCTAACAAGGAACCGACACTTCAATTACCTACAGTGGGACACACAAATGAGAGGGGGGGGGCGCAAAAGAAAGTGATTTTTTAAAAAGGAAACCTCCTGTGCTTTTAAATAATTACACAGCCGAGGAATGTTGTTCTAAAATCAACAGCCCTATGAAATGATGCCTCTGGGGTGGTTAGCGTGAGACGCAGGGGCTGCTACAGAACAGCGAGGCCAACAAACATGAGATGTGTGTGTGTGTGTGTGCGTGTATGTTTGAAACAAGAGTAACCTCCCTTATCTGGCTTAGCCAACAGGGTTTGGTCCCTTTGATTGGTCTGTACTGTAGCTTTGCTCGTTGCTTTTATTCCATCTGTCAGTATTGCAACTTTGGTCGTCGGCCAATCCACAAGAGATTGATGCTTTTCTCGTTCCATGAAGCCACCCGTAAAGGCCCTCTGGCAAGCAGGGAACACG